TACCCCTGGAGGAGCTGGTTTGGAGCAGCGTGCGCAGCAAGGACAAGGCTCTCCCAGCCTGGAAGGACCCAGCTCGGGAGGAAGGGTGCGGAAGGGGCTGCCGACAGCCCACAGCAGAGCACCCCTCCAGCCCACACTATCCAAAGTCGGAGCATCTCTGCACTTGCCTGGCGTCGAGCCCCACGTGCAAGACCTGACCTGAACGTTTTGTTCGTTCGGCTCGCGTTAGGCAGGTCCAGCCCATCTGCGAGCTCACGGCTGGCGCTCACCCCCGGCACCGCCGCGCTCCGCAGCCCACGGAGGGAACGCGCTCCTGCTTGCACCTCCCGCTTGCCGGGATGAACATCTGGTCCCTGTGCGGAGCGAAGCGCCCAAGGGACATGCACAGCATGCGACCTCACCCAAACACATGCAGCGGCGAACAGCCGGTGCACACGGATGAAGCAAGCCACACACAGCATGCAGCAGCACCATGCGACCTGCATATGGCATTGTGGGACACGGAACCCACGTGGCAGTGGCGCACATGGCATTTCTGGCACTCAGCTTTGCGGGCTGTGACGGGCAGGACGCATGTCCGTGTGCCCATGGCACGGCAGGCATATGTAACACGCTAGGCACACACATCCTGCCTTTGTGGCTGATTGCTGCTTGTAGCAACCTTCTGGGGAAGGGCAGCCCGGCCCTGGCAGCACTGCAGAGCTGTGGCAGGCACAGAGAGCCCTGGCACAGTGCTGGCCCGGGGTGGAGTTTGGCAGGCTCTGCCAAGCACCCAGGTAGGTCTCAATGGTCTGCTGGCACCAAGGGAGCTTTAACTGCTGGCTCCATCGGGAGGGAGGGCAGGAGCAGGAGCAGGGCAGAGGATGAGGGATCTCACAGTCTTTCTCACACACCTCTGCCTTGGTTCACTCCCAGGACCTGCACTTCCCAGCCCTTCCAGGGACTGACTGTCCAGGGCAGGTGCTTCCTGTTGTGCACCCTCAGCCGGCAGGCCAGGTGCCAGCTCCTGCTGGTGGCAATCCCTCTGCCTATGCTTGCTGTGGAAGGGTATGGGGGTGGTGCTGGCAAGCCAGAGGGTCTCTTCCAGGACAACCCTGCTCTCAAAGCACACGTGCTTGTCCTGGACTCCAGTCCCGTTCCATATGCTATCCCATCCCTCTCCCTGCAGCAGCCAGAGCAGACATTCATAGCCTGGGGCAGCTCCAAGCACCATGGAAGCTGCAGAGAATCACAGAGAGCTGGGACAGCAGTGAACCTGCTTTCCTCCCACCTCAGGATATTGTTTTGGAGTGGAAAGATCCCTCACCTCCCTACTGTCTATGCCTGGCCCTGCCTGCAATTGCTCTGTCAGCCCTGAGCTGCTTCTGCCCTGCCCCCAGCCACAGGCACTTCGATAGTACAGGATCCAGTTCTGGTCCCATCATGCTCAGGGATGCTCTGAGTTTACAGCTAGATCCTGAGCCCATCTACAGCCTCTCTGCAAACACCAGAAAGGCTCAGCCYATCCACCCACCGTGGATGGAAGAGAGGTTGAAGGTGAAGGGGCTCAGAAGTGTGCTAAGAAGCAGGATGATTGGTTCTGCTTTCCCTCATCCCCATCCAACTACGCACAGGACAAAGCTCATCAGCCCCTGTCCTGGAGCAAGAGATTCCTGTTCCCTTCTTGAGGTGCCCCTGCAAGAGATGGAGATGAGGCACCCCCTATGCCCCCTGTTTGGGCAGATGCTTAGGAAGTTTCCGACAGGTGTTGTAGAAAGGGACCAAAATCAAAGAGCATCTCCAGGGTTGCTGTGCTCCCTGCATCTCTCCGGAGCCAAGTGTGCATCCTAGCCTGGGCACAGCCCCCAGATGGTGTGGTGGTTGGCCATCATTGTGGTCATGGGCCCCTTGGGGCCGTCTCCAGGCTTTGTGTCTCCTGCTACCAACCCTGGCAAAGTTGAAAAGCTGAGAAAGCACAACACATCCCCCGATATGCACAACCCTCTGCAGCAGCCCTACTCAGGCTGGGATCAAACAGAACACGATTAATAACTCTGAGCAAAGCCAGACCCTGCTCTCCATGTGTTCTAGTCGCTGCACGTGTGTCCCGGTGGGGGCAGAGCCTGCTGGAGATGGTATCTGGCAGAGCAAGGCTGTGGAGACACTGCCATGCCGCCTCCGCTTTCCCGGGGATGCTCCAGCACCTCTGGGCTATTTTATGCCCTAGCTTAATTGGCCTCCTGCCATCTTCCCAGCCTGYTCTCCCTGCCCCAGGTCTGCCAGCCCAGTGGCACCGTTCAAAGATGGGACAGCCCCAGGAAGCCACATTGCCCTGAGGGCTGTGTTGGCTGGGGAAYGGCTCTCTGGCAGGGCTCGCACCCAAGGGTGAGTTGCTCCTCATGCTAAACGCGTTCAACACCCACAGATTCATGTCAGAGCCAGTGCTGGTACCAAGGGCTGTGCCAGACTGGCAAAGGATGACGCACAGTGGGGTACCCTTGTCTGTGCTGGGCAGTGCTGTTCCCCGAACCCCAGGCACTGCATGGCCAGTGGCACGGCTTTGGGGACATCGAGACCCGGGCTGGGGATTTCCATGGCACAGTTCCGCASCAGGAGGATTTGCATGGAGAGGGATTTGCATGGAGAGGGCAGGGTGCTGGAGGAGCACAGGGGGGACACAAGTACCCAGGTGTAGTTGCACACAGGTGTGTGTGTGCATGCATGCCTGTGTGTTTGCAGAGGTGTTTTAGTGTGTGTGCCCTCGCTGGCAGGCAGGGCCGAGCTGGTGCAGCCCATGTCTGTGTGTGCATGTGTGTGTTCTCCCGCTGAGCTGGACAGGCAGTGCTGGCCGTGCCCCCGCTGCGCTGCGCTCGCTGCTCGGTTTCCTGGTGTCTGTGCACCGGTGAAGGTGTGGGTGTGAGCAGAGGTGTGCGCTGTTGCTGGCAGTCTGTGGGGTGCCGCATGTCCTGCCCAGCCCGGATGGGGTGTGCCATCCTGGGCCAGGCGCTGCTTTGTTTCAGGATGTGGCAGAAGCAGCTGCTTGTCCTTGGCCCTCCAGTGACCTGGAGGGATTCAGCCCACAGCACTGTGTGGGCATCCCAAGGGCCGAGAACCGGGGTGGTTCTCACCACAGTGAGCACCCCTAGACCTCAACTGTCCCCCACCCAGYCTATGTGGCACACCTGTGCTGAGCCTGGAGGAAATGCCCAGGCAGGGCAGGAGCTCTCTGCCCCTGAAAGTCTGTCAGTCCTAGCACCACTGTGGGTACCAGGCAGTTCACACAAGGAGACAGGCTTTTGTGTCCCTGGGAATGGGCTAATGTGGGAGGTCAGGGTATTSCACCCCCGGTTGTCTCCAGCCCCTCAACGGCCAGACCTGGGGCAGGGAGCACAGGGACTGTCCTTGCTCTGTGCTGGGGTCCTGCACTCCCCTTGCCAGGCTGTAACTTCAGATACTGTCACCAGGAGTGGGTCCATCCCACACTTGAAGACATCCCATCCAGCTGAAGACAGCAAGGAGAGGCAATCTTTAGCCTGCCTGGGCTCTGGGACAAGAGCCTTTGTCAGACAGCATGGAGGGGAGAGGTGTGTCCCAGGCATGGATCTGCATTGTGCTGTGCTGAACCTGCAGGCAGTTCTGCCCACTCCAGCCCATTCCCAGCCACAGGGAGCATCAGGCACAGCATAGGTACAGCCTGGTGTCCCCCCTGCTGCACCCACATGTTTAACAATCGTCCCCAAAAAGTGACTTTGAACCYCTGTGGGTAAAAGGAATAAGGGATATGAGATAAGAGGAAATAGCCAGAGCTTGTACCAGTCCTGCATCTTGGAGCACATCAGCCCCATCCTCTCACAGAGCCTCCAGGGAAGGGGTGGGCGATGGGGCTCCTCTCTCCCAGGCCAGATGGTGGCTCTGGGAAGTGCGTGGGCATCCTGCCCAGGGGATGGACACTGAGCAGGTTGCCAGGGCCGCTGCTTCTGGCCCAGCTATCGCTGGCTTTGGGAGCCCTGAGGCAGGATGTTCTGTTCTTGCAGCAGCGCCTGGCTCAGCCCCCGCCTGTGCTGATCCTCAGAGCAGCTGGAGGAGGGGATCTGCCACTGCCTACCCTTTCTSCCTTCTGCATGAGCATCACTCAGGCTTGGGGTGCCTGACATTACAGATGAGGCCAACAGGGGAGTAGGAACACTGGGGGAAGAGTGGGGCCTTGGCCAGGTGCCAGCTGAGCTGGTATCACCTGGTTCTGAGGCTGCTGGGCGCTGCCAGCTTTAATCTTGCACTCTGCACCTCCATGAAAACACCCTAGGTGCTACAGGTAAAGCTGGAGCCTGGGAAGCTGCTCTCACCCCGTGGTACCCCTCCAAATGTGATACGATGTWCTGGTGGGGATGCATCAGCAGCTGCATCCCAGCCAGGCTGGGTGTGGGGTGGGATATGCTCTGCTGTCTCCATCCCTGCTCCCCTGGGACTGGTCTGCACTGGGGACTCTGTGAGGACCAGCAGGTTTCTCCAGGACACTGAAGCGATGTGGTGCCCTGGAGGTGCCAGGCTGAGGCTGCCTGTGGTAACAAGCAGGAGCTCACAGTGGCTGGCACCAGCAGGCTCCCTTGCAGGTCAGGATCTGGGCCAGAGGACCTGCTCCAGTGCCTGACATCCCCATCTAGGTAGGGTGTGACAGAGGTACACCTCAGGATGAAAGGGACATGCCACCCTGGGTCTCTTTTGGAGCAGCCTGGCTTAGTTTTGTGCTGCTGTCAGTTCCCTGCCAGGGCTGGGCCAACCTGGGGAGGCAGCAGTTGCCACCTGCTCACACCCAGGCTGTAATCCACAGGCAGGAGATGAGCAGCTGGCGGAGCCTCCCTGACCTTCAGGTGGGATTAGTCCCCATGGGAACAGTGGGGAGCAGGCAGGTGAGGCAGTTCCTGGGGACTGGGCAAGGCTGGCGGAATTGGGGACTGAGCACACCCCCACGCTGGGGGCGGCTGCAGTCAGATCGTGGATGGGYGGCACAGGGTGAGCCCGTGTCCCTGGGAACATCCCTGTCTTGGTGAGTGCCACAGGGCAGAGTGGACACCCACAGCCCCACAAAGGGGAGCTGAGCAGCGTACCTGGGGTGGCCAGGGTGCAGTGGGGACAGCAGGTGGGCAGGTCTGAAGAGCAGGTTCCAGCGGGGGTACGGGTGGCTGAGGGCCGTGGGTGTTTGTGGAGAGCTGAGGCTGGGCTGAGGGCTGCCTTGTGGAGAGCCATCTCAGCCAGCTGTTTGCCAGGCCCAGCTGCGAGTGACAACGTGTGGGTACCCCTCATGTTGTGTACCACTTGCTGTGCCCTCCACCGTGTCCCTGCCCTTCCCTGGCTATTGGTGGCAGTATCGTGACACCAAACCCCTGTGGGCTCCTCTCCCACTCACCCTCTGGACTCCCCCTGYCCTGGGTGCAGCAGGAGCTGCAGCTGGTGTGCACCAAGCCCTGCCTGGGGGAACCCGAGTGCCTGGGGCCTCTCCAGGCACGGAACAGCTGGCAGCCCACAGTGTGCGTGTGTGCTCGTGTGGGAGCTAATCCCAGCAACATCTGCCAGGCTCTTTGCGATCCCAGGAGTTTCTGGCTGCAGGGATGGGATGGCCGGGTGCACAGGGGACACGTGCGTGTGCCAGGGCTCTCTGTGCAAGGCAGTGCCTGTGTGGGGAGCTCCTGTGGCAGGTGTGTGCCTGTACACGTGTGTCTTGTGTGGCCAGCAAAACCTCAGGAGGGGACAGGTGGCACYGGGGATGTCAGCAACCCCCTTGGGTCTGGGATCCAGGGATGCAGCAGGTGGAAGTAGGGATTTTGTCTGGGTTTAACTGGTCCTGGTGTGGCCATGTTCATAGCAGCCCCAAAGCACAGATGACTGGGGAGAGAAGGAGGGTGTTTGCATCCTTGTCAAAGAGGATGATTTCCTAGGGAAATGAGGCTGGGGGAGAAAAGGGAGGAAAAAGGGAGCAGTGGGGCTGTGTGGGGGCAATGACACAGCATCCCCGATCTAATCAGCCAGACCCTGCAAATAAAAGCCACCTGTTTTGGCCCTGGCAGCAGGAAGCCATCCCCAGAACAAACAGAGCACCAGGCAACTGGGAGAAAGACAAACAGGGGCCGGCACCAGCTCCATCTGTTCTGCTCAGCCCAGCGCCCAGACCTCCAGCCCCCTGGAGTGGCGGTCCAGCCTCCAGCAGGGCTGGGGAGAGGGAGAGAGCGGCTAGAGGGCCTTGCAGGGAGTGACCAGGGCTCAGCCTACGGTGTCAGCCAGATGCACAGAGCTGTGCTGCCTCGGTCAGCTAGCCCAGCTATTGGTAACATCAGTGCGTACGATGCTGTGTTACCACAGACACGGCATCAGCATCGGGATTCCTGGGCAGCACCTGCCTCWGGTCTCTCGTGGCAGCCGTTCAGCCTGCTCAGCTCCCCCAGCTGTGCTCTGTCCTGGGACTGGTGCCCGCACAAGGCACAGGGTACCACCCCATGGTCTGGGCTTGGCAYGGAGCCCTTGGGTGACCTTGTGCTCCCACGGTGCCCCCGGGCTGCCGCGCTGTGCCCGGTGGCACTGAGAAACACGATCTGTTTTGCTAGCACAGGGAACAGGCTGAGCCGGGAGCGGTGAGGGGCCCTTATTAAATTAGCCTATGCAGGAGGCCCTGGTGAGCGCTCAGCGGCTCCCACAGCAGAATTAGCAGCTGCCCTTGAGCCGAGGCACTGCCTGCCCCCGCAGCAGCCTCCCTGTGCCCCTGCTCCCAGCGGCTGGCAGGTGACCTAGCCACGGGAATGCCGGCAGATGACAGAGACTGCCCAGAGATGGCTCAGGAGGACAGGCCACATCAGCATTCTGGGATCAGCAGTGGGAGAGGGCTCCTCATGAGTGACCCCAGTGATCCTCCTGATGTGGCTGTGACTCCCATGTGGCTGCCCTGAATGTACCCAGCAGAGGGTGAGGCACATCCMAGTGAGTAGGATGTGCTGTGAAACATAGAAGGGGCACAGGCTGCATCTGGGTTTTATTCCTGCACCATTTGCCTCCCAGGGCTTCTATCCAAAAGGTTGTATGGGGATGACTGAACTGTGTGCGCCTCATGGCACACCACCAGTGCCCTGTAGATCCTAAAGCACACCATACAACGCCCCACATACACCCCCTATACACATCCCATAAAAGCTTGCAGCATCCTACATATTCTGTGGTGCATTCTGTAATGCACCCCACAGTCCCCGACTGCCCTCATACCTCAAACACCCCAAACTAACCAGTGTCCCACACCTCTGCTCACACAGCCCAGGCAAGGGGTGGCAGCACCCTGGGAGGACCCTGCAGGGCACTAGCTCTGCATCTTGCCTCAATTTCCCCAAGGTGATGGCTTCCCTAAACACTGCCCAGATCTGTCTCCCAGCATTTTRAGAGATGCCCCCAGGCCGCCGGGCTGCACCGGGGTGCTCTTCCTTCCCCAGGGAGCATCTTTATCCTTCCCTCCATCTTCTGCTTCCCCGGCAGCTCCCAGAGGGTCTCCCATTCTGTACTAGCAGCACTCCAGGCAACGCAATCTGAGGGTCGCCTCCCCAGCGCCTGTCCCCGGCCAAGGGACACTGAAGTCCCTGAGCTGGAGCCTGCTCCAACCGCTGCCAGGCTGCACCCTCTGCTGGGACCCGCCGGCATCGGCGCCGACTCGCACGGAGCCTCGGAGCCGTCCAGCAGTGGGGCGGACACCAAGAGGACCCTCGAGTCCTGCCCCCGGCCCGTCCCTGCTGTCACCCCCCAGTCCCCGATTTCTGCGTACTAACACCACCCCAGCTGCCCACGCTGCATTCTCCATCACCARCAATGTCGGGGTCTCTTGTGATGCTGACCCCATGCTCAGGACCCCCAGAAGGGCTGGAGTTTTCCTRGGAAGGTTTGAGGTGCTATGGTCCAGCCCCTGCCCAGTGGCCCAGTGGCCTGCTGAGCTGAAGGTGGGTCATCACAGACTAAGCAGGGATGCTGCAAGAAACACTGCTGTCTAGAGACCCAGGATTTCACAGCTTCACGGGCACTCTTCCTCCTTTCCAGCCCCTGCTGGCCTCGTCCATCCCACATTCTGATGGGAGATGGTTGGTGTGGTGCAGTTACGGCAGGGCTGGTGCTGCTGGCCAGGTGAAGGACGCAGGTCTGTCCCAAAGCTGGTCCCCTCATGCTGTGCATGGTTCCCTTGCCCYAGTGGGAGGTGAGTGGGAGCACAGGGAGCTCTTTGTCAAGCCAGGGGACATTTCAATTGACGAGCAYGTAACTGGGGTCCATTAGCACCCAGTATGCAGCCAACACAGGAACCCCTGCAGGGCACTACACATCTCCCAGGGSACGGATGGACCAAGCAGCACCCTGTGCTGCCTTCTTCACTCCTCTCATTCGCCCTAACCTTCTCCCACCCCATACAGCCTGAATCCCTGACCTGACAGCTCAGGACATGCAACACAGGGTGGAGAAGGAACCCATAGTGGCAGAGTCTCAGGCGGAGGGGCAGAAGCAGCCCCAGATAAACCCTCTGTTCCAGCGTGAGGACATCAGTGCCCCTCAGCTCCCAGATGGTAAATCCCCACTTCACCCTGGCACCTCCTTCCCACCAGCCTCAACCCTGGCAAAGGCTGCGGGTGCCCTGGGAAAGGCTGGGTCCCTAATCCCTGGGCCAAGCGGGGACATTGTCCAGGGGCAGAAAGGAAAGCGGCGCGTCAGGCCCTTTGCCCATTGTGCCCTGAGCCCCTGCGCAAACATAGCCCAGCACTTTCATTGTCAGCCTCGCGGGGCGCGGGGGGGCCGCTCTCGCCACACTGCCTAAGTGGAATGGACAGCCGGAGTCTGGGGTGGGCGAGCAGCCCGTTCCCCCCATCCCCTGCCTGCTGACACAGCGCCCTGACCGCCTGCACCATCGGCACTTCAGCGCCCGCCTATAAAGGGCGAGGGGAAAAGCCGGCGCCGGCACCGCCACCTTCGCCTCTGTGCCCTGCCCTGCCGACCAAGTAAGTACCAGGCTGTGAGCCCCCAACAYCCCCACGGCACAGGCGCTGCCACGCTCCCTTCACCCCCACACCAAGCCCCCCACCCAACGCACACCGTGGGGAAGGGCAAGTGGCGGGGTGCTGTGTGGCGCAGCGGGGGTGCCCTGTGCGGGCACCGGGGACCCTGGCAGGAGGGACCCCGGCAGGAGGGATGGAAGAGCCGGAATGCTCTGCCCCAGGGCTGCACCCGCACCCGCGTCCGAGCTGGGGTCACTGCCGCCTCCCGGCCGTGGGTACAGTGCCACYGCACCCAGACAACTTCTGGAGCCATCGCAGGGACCTTGGGAGAAGAACTGAGGCAGTCCCGGGTACATCACACGGAGAGATGGGGCATTGCAAATTCCCGCTGCAACTTGGGGTTTACTGGACAGAGATCCCCCAGCACCGATGGAACGGGAGTGGGAAATGCCCCCATGCCAGCCTGGGAGGGCAAGGGGCCGGTGGCACGGGATGTGTGAGGGCAGCAGCAGCAGCATCCCAGGCTCAGTGGCAGGCAGCGGGGTGGCTGGGGACTGACGGCGGGCACCTGCCCCGGGGTGACACGCGGGGCTCTGCCAGCAGCCGAGCGACCCGTATGACCAGCAGTGAAGCCATGGACACCCTGGGGCAGTACAAGATCACGGTGTGGGAGGAGGAGAACTTCCAGGGCAAGCGCTGCGAATTCCTCATGGAGTGCCCCAGCATCATGGAGCGTGGCTTCCGCAAGATCCGCTCCATCAAGGTGGAGTCTGGCCCGTAAGTGCCCCGCCAGCCCCGCGGCCCCTTGGCACACCCCACTCCRGCAAACTCACTGCTCCCAGGGGACTGTTGGCAGCTGCTAGGGAGCCGGAACACCCGAGTCCTTCCTTGGCTCTGACACAGCCCATGCGACCTCCCTGCTTGTGCTCCTTGTGTGGTGCCTCAGTTTCCCCCTCTGCTAATCAGGGAGATCCTGCCAAGCCAAGGCGCAGGTTAGAGGCAATGGTGTGGTTCTGGGGAGAGGGGTCCCACTTTCAAAAGGGACATTTGCTGCTAACAAGGACCCCAACATCTGTGACAGATCCATAGCCTGCCAGGATGTCTCTGTCCCCTGCACAGGAAGAAGCAGCTGACCCCTGGCTGATCCTGGGGTCTGTGTCACACATCCCTGAGGGTTTTCCTCCTCTCCCCTCCAGCTGGGTAGGCTTCGAGTACCCTGAGTACCAGGGACAGCAGTTTATCCTGGAGAAGGGTGACTATCCCCGGTGGGAGGCCTGGAGCGGGAACAGTGGCTACCGGACCGAGCACCTCCTCTCCTTCCGGCCTATCAAATGCGCAGTGAGTTACTGGGACACCATGGAGGGGGGCTCAGGGCAGGCAGAGCCTCCTCCAGGCAGCGCAGCATGGAGGGGATGAGGGACAGACAGAGAATGAGTTACATGGGGCATGGGATGGAGGGGTGAGGTGTACACAGAGATACCTGTGAAGTGAAGGAGTAGCTGCACCCACCSGCTCCCACCTCCCTGCAAAGACCCTGGGATGCATTTTAGGTGTAAAATTTAGCCTGAAATACAATTCCAGCTCCTTCTGCTTTGTGCTTTGGAGAGCCAGCTCCCAGACTGGCTTCCCCAGGCCCTGTCTCCCAGTCTGGACTCCCAGGAATGGGGTGAACAGAGAGGAGCCAGCAGGACCACAGGGATGCTTGGKCTGCAGGGTCTGTCCCCCTCCCGCCCGGGGTACCTGAGCCGTGCCCAGGCAGACGCAGCTCTATCGCTCCATCTGCACAGACACTGGTGCTCACAGCAGCGGCACRTCTGCGCCTCCGAGCGGGGGGGTCCCCCCCAACTTTTAATAATCACCAGGCAGATATGTTCGGGCTTTAATAAAGGGGATGCGATAAGATCACTCCTTACTGGCAGGACTGCTCCTCGGTGCAGATAGATGCTTGTGGGGGCTGGGCACGGGGGACAGTGCTGCATCACTCAGTGTCCCAGCCATTAACCCCTCTGTGTCCAGCACCCAGAAAGGCCYGACAGAGCTGGAGGGAGCTCTCTCAGCATCCTGCCTTGCCCTGAACCCTCTTACAACCTTGGGGAGTGTGATGATGCTGAGGGCATCAGCCCACGTGGGTGCAGGAGTTGTAGCCGCTGTAACCCTCACTGACAGCTCTGCATTGGGACCGCAGGGCCATGAGAGCAGCATCCTCGGGGCAGCCCTGGGGTGCAAGGCTGGGTCCCAGTGAGGGGGTGCAAGGCTGAAGGACATCCCCACGCATTGCACCAGGACTGGTCACGGTTCCAGACCTCTCACAGTGCCAGTGTGTGCATCACAMTGATGCCACATCCCCTGTACCTGGGCAAGCCAAGCCATTCCTGCTGACCCCCGCTCTCTCCCTCCGCAGAACCACAATGACAGCAAAGTCATCCTCTACGAGGCTGAGAACTTCCAGGGGCACAAGTTTGAGCTGAGTGACGACTATCCCTCGCTGCAGGCCATGGGCTGGGGTAACAAGGAGGTGGCATCCATCAAAGTGAACGCCGGAGCGTGAGTGTGGCCAGTGGGGCGGGGGCTGGGGGTGCCCAGAGCAGAGGTTCAGCAAGCACCTTCCTCCTGTATAGCCCCAGGATGAGGAAGGGGACCCCTCCCTAAAAAAGGATTGCCTTCCTACTACCTTTTCCTTGAAAATCCAAGCCATTGGGTATTTTCTATCCCTCTCTTCCCAGGGCGAGCAGAGGGATGGGATGGGATGGGGTGGGATGGGATGGGATGGGATGGG